ATCCTAGCTGCTCCATTTCTGATCCAGTTCCCTGTTTATTACCTGGAAAAGAAGTGGAACATGGTCCCGGTGTTTGGGCCTCTGAACCTACATGGGAGACCCCGAGGAGACTCCTGGCTGCAGATGGGCCCAGCTCTGGCTATCGCAACCATTTTGGGAGTGAACCAGTGGGTGAAAGATCTATCTCTCCTTCATTCTCTCTGTAACTCTTTCAAATAATAAACAAACAAAAAACAAACAAATAAATAGACATTTAAAAAGTGATACTATTGACTTCAGTAGGATTGTGGGGAGTCATGCATATAATTTGTTTAATATAATATCTTGCTTCCAGCAGAATACTCAATACTTACTCTTATTGGCTAATGAGCAGTACAATTGTAACATGTAGCAGTTCATGCCTCTACATTGCATAAGTCACAGTTACAACAAAATAAAGTCATACCAGTTAAAGCAAGGGAGTGCAGTGATAGAACCATGGGCACACACAGAGGGCTGGCTGTGCTCGGGAGCCACTCCTCTTGAAGACACACAAAGGTTTTGGTGTCAAACCAACTCAGGTTCGCTGCCTGATGTCCGAGAATAGAAGCCACACTGTGGTGTCAGCCAGGCCTGGCAGTTGTAAACAGCTATTAAAGCTGTCTCAGACTGTTTTCTTCAGCTTATGGCAAAACACACGCACCCGGGCCACGGAAGCTTGACTCACAGCCTCTTCCCAAACCCAAGCAATCGGTCAGAGGATAAACAATGGCCTGCTGGCCTGAGTCAGGGAAAATTCCAGAAGTGGGTAGCTCATTAATTGCCGAGTGAGCTGCCATGGGAGCTGTCACCTGTGATGAGCAGCAAGACCAGGTTAACCATGTTCTCCTGGAGAGCTGCCTCGTGGCTTGCAAATGGGTCATCTGTACCATGTGCTCTTTACAAAGCCTTGGACAATCTTTTGACTTTCCCTTCCATGTGAGGATGCCAGCCTCTTCCGACAGGCCCAGCATCACCCCCACCAAAGGGGAGAATGGTGACCCCAAAGCCAGCCGGTGGTAGCAGCAGATATTGATATGTGCATTTCAGGAATTTTTAAGGTACTATGTATTAGGTCAGGCAGAACAGAAGTGACTCTGTTGTGCCCAGATTTTGACATCTGCAGAAATCACCAGGAGTCTAAAATTGATCCAAGTGCACAAGGATGGTTTATCCAAGCTCAGCACATCCGAGCCTGGGTTCTTGGTAGAGAGCAGGCAGCTGGCAGACCGACCGGCCAGCTGGCCAACCGGGACCAACACCCCTTACTGGGAGTGTGGCCCCGAACAGCACATTCATAGGATTTTACACGGGCAGTCCAAGCCTGCAAGCTCACACAGTTTCTTAGTAGCAATGAGCCATGAACAAATGGTTGGGATTTTGATACTGAGGTTCTTCAACTCCACCACCCAGTTGAAGTCAAGCTGACACTTTCATCCAGGAATGTGTAGAATGTCAAATTACTCTAACCTTGTCTCCGTGCAGGTCAGCACCCACCATGATGAATACCCTACTACATGTCACACACATGAGCAAACTGAGGAGCCACAGCCTTTCTTTCTTCCCCACACCTAAGATGCATGAAGGCCCAGTGCTGTGCCCCCTGGGTGGTGTGGGCCATCGCTCTAGGACCCTGCCCTGCTGCCTGGTAGGCGTGGCCTGAGGTGCAACTCCCAGGCCTACAGGTGGAGTGTGACCTCCAACATGGCTAGAAGGTCAAGGGGAGTACACGTGGAACATTACCTCTGACATGACCGGAAGATCTAGGGAAGTATACGTGTCATACAGCCAATTATAGTGTCTTTGGTCGACATGGGGGTCTGCTGGAAGACTCCCTCCTACTCTCCCCTTCTTTACCCTTTAAAATCTGTAACCTGTGTGTGATAAAGTGGACATTTCTTACCAGCTGGCCCCGGGGGTTTCTTGTGGCCAAACAGCACCATCACCTCACCCTTGGTGACCTTGGGGCCTGCTGGCAGGCCTAAAGCCGGAGAGGGCGGAGAGGGCGGCCATTTCCCTCATGCGGTCACTCTGTCATGTGGAAGTGGCCCCAGGCTGTCTCCCACCAGGGAGCAGTCCATCACACTTTCTTCCCCTAATAAAATACTTTGCTTAAACTAAGGCTCTCACTCACCTGGAAATCTGACACAGTCTCACGAATGTGGAATGTGTACTTGTGTGTGCTCCGTGCAGCCTACTCATTTCACCCTTACGAATTTATCTAAAGGAATTTTCTTTAAGGAAGTGAAGATTTTTCTATTAGGATAGTCAGCTGAGCATATAATACCAAAAAAAAAAAAAAAGAAGGAAACAGTGGAAATTACTAAAATTAAGGTAAGAGGGCATAATAGGAAATATTTAGTGCAGAATAGGTATCTATATAAATCTTGAAATATTCTTAATATACTGACTTTAAAAAGTGAAAGAAAAGGCTAACAAAGAACATATAACATTAACAATGTTAATCTTTTTCATTTTCATTTTATTTGAAAAGCAGGAAAGGAGAGGGGACAAAGAGGGAGAGAAAGATCTTTCAGATCATTCCCCAGATGTCCCCAACAAGCAGAATCGGGTCAGGACGAACCGGGGCCGGAGCCAGGAACTCTCTCTGGATCCATGTGAGAGGCACAAGCGCTGGAGTCATTGCCCGCTACCTCCCAGGGCACACATTAGGAAGCTGGACTTAGCATCGGAGCTGGGATTTGAACTCAGGCACGATGATGTGGAATGTGCATAGCCCAAGTGGTGATTTGATTGTTGTGCCAAATTCCTACCCCAAGAATACTGCTGTTATTATCAATTTTGTATGAAGGAAAAAAAAATGTTCAGTTACTGAATGCTTTCTACGGTAAGTACTTGAAGTATGTCGAAGATAGATATTGGTTTGTTCAGTCCTTACACTATCATCATGCCCATTTCCTGGATGAGGAAAGAGGGGCTGGGATGCAGGACTGGCCCGACCTGCACTGGTGGGTGCCACCTGCCCCAGCTTCTTCTCGCCATCAAGTCAGGAGCTGGTCTTTGCCAGTTCTGATTGCTTTTCCCAATGCGGCAGCGCATCTCACCATGGTTCACTGTGCCTCTGGTCTGCAGACTACGCGCCCAAAGAGGAATCCACAGATTCCCAGGGACCAACTTGAGAGGAGGGTGGTCACAGCAAAAAGGGGGTTTCCCTTTGTGCATACACTTGCACAGGAGGGAGCTGGCTGGGCAAGCTGACAGCAGCTCTGGCCATTCTCCCTAGAGCCAGACCCCGGAATCAGCAGAGCAGCAAGGGAAAAGACTCCTGTTCCCAGTCTCAAAGATTCTGATTCCAGCTCCGGGTTCTGGCATCAGAATCCTTAGAAAATGCTGAAGGCTGAAGCCTTGGGCCAGGCTCCTAGGAGGCGGGGAACGTCGATGCTGACTTCCTGTACCCTGTTTAGTCATTCGAAAGAAACGGCCGAGAATAGACTGCCAGCTTCTTAGGAAGGCTGCGGTGTGTGGGAACCCGAGGCCGATACCTGCCCAGGAAGCAGCTTCACGGTGAGGGGAGGGGTGCACGCTCTGCCACAGTGGGTTCATCCAGTGGCCAAGATGATCACCTGATACAGCCCAGCCTGTCTGTTTGGCTTTAGACCCAGACTGAAACTACTGCGTCCCACTGCATAGTTCTTCCAAAGACACCACCAAGCCAGACAATGGCCCGGAGCCCCTGGCACTCCTGGGGTGTGCTGTGCCATTACCCACAGCCTGCATCTTGCCTGACTTCCCCCGTGGGCTTCCACAACACCTCCTCCTCCACGCCCACGCCCAGATCACGCGGTCACTTGGACTCCCATGATTTATGTCTCCTGGGAGTCTCGCCTTTTGAAAACAATCTCGGCGAGAAGGGCGTCCCTTCCTTTTTCAAACTCGGTTTTGCCAGTTCCCAGAGGCAAGATCCGTGACCTGCACCTCCTTAGTGAAGCACGCAGGTTGATTTTTTGTTTGGCTATTTTGAGGTTACCCTTGGCATCACCTGCCGTGACTCTCGGGAAGAAGAGACCATGAGTCCCCGGGGCGAAGCTTTTCTCCCCACTAAGGGGGACAGCTTTGGATCTTCTTAAGGGCCCAGAGAGAGCCTCATTCGTTGTTGTTTGCGGCTTGGCAGAAGGCCCAGCACAAAGTCCGCGCCAGTTAAATATCTGCTAAATTAATGTTTTGTACTAAGTACCCCGTGTATTTGTTATGCGTTTGGCTTGGGTCTTGGGAGCTGCCTCCTGAGAGCTGTTTCTTCGCATCGTGTCTTCCTAGTTGAGCTGTCAGCCACTAACTGGAGAGCATCGGCGAAGCTGGCGGTGAACACGGGCGTGGGGCCGGCTCGGCTGCCGGGGGTGCCTTGCTGCGAGGCCCGGCTACAGTCCCAGTCAGGAGGCCGGGTGGAGGCCCCCGAGCTCCACAGCCGCGCGGCTTCTCGGTCGGGTCAGGACACTTCCAGCTAACCAGCTGCGCACTCGGAGCGTGCAGGGCTCTGTGCTTGGAAGGGTCAGGCTGGCTTCGCGCAGACGGCGCAGTCAGCGACCAGTGCGGGGGTGACCAGCCCGATCCGTGCACGGGCGGGGACAGCCGCTGAGGGATGGCGAAGCTGGCGGGCGGGGACGGGCCAGGAGCCCCTCAGAACGGCGCCCCAGATGAATCCAGACGGATAGACGGGAGGCCCGACCTCGGGAAGCAAGTTTCTTTATCGAAAAGTCTATAAGACAGAACTGACGCGGCTCAGAAAACTCGAGAACCAACGTCCCCGCCACGGGCGAGTCCCAGAGCCTGAGAGAGCGGAGGCGGAGACGCCGCACGCCCGGCCTCCCGGCAGTTATTCCCGACATGCTCCTCCGCGAGAATTCAAACCTAGCAACCACCACGGCCCCGCCCCCTCCCCAGCAACAGGCGGGGGCCCGCTTCTCATTGGCCGGGCGTCGTACCGCCGTGTTCTGATTGGCTGCGGGTCTCCGCCGTCCCCGCTTCTGCGCTCGCAGCCTCCTCCATTTTGTCGGTAGAGAAGGCCGGAGGTGGACGTGAGCTGCAGGCGCTAGGGTGATCATCGGCCAGCGGCTCGGTGTTTGTGGGGTTGGTTTGACCCTTGCCTCGTCTCTCCCTGGGAAGGGAAAGGGGTCTTGACGTCGGGAGGTAACGGCTGCCGCAGACCCGAGCTCGAAGTCGGTGAGTGGCGGCGGGTGCGGCCATGTTGGCGGCCGCGCTGCCCATTGTTGGGGGGATAGGTGGGAGAACCCGGGCGAAGCTCGCGGCCTGGAGCGTCCGAATGTTTACTCGGCGGGGCTCTGCCCCTCGGAGGAGCGGGGCGAGTCGGGGTTGGCTTCCGGTCGGGGTAGGGGCGCTGGGACTTGCGCAACAGGGCAGTCCCGTGAAGTCCATTTCCTGGGTCGGCCGAGGAGGCTGGCTTGCGTTTCTGACCGCGGAAGTGAGACGGGAAGGGCGGTCCGAGACACGTCCCGAGCAGCCGGTCACACACAGCAGCCTGGCGTCCTGGCCGTCTCGGGTGCTCACGGCCATGCTTCCTTTTCCAGCTAGGACTTCTCTCAAGCTTGTGTGCCGAGGAGACTCCGATGTTGGCCTCAGCGCCTAGGCTGACCTCGGCAGATCGGCCCATGAGAACTTCTGTCTTGAGACAAAGGAGAGGCTCGGCCAGAAGGCAGCACCTGGTGTCTTGGGCTTGGCGGCAAGGAAGACGACAGGTGGTGGGCAACCTGCAGTCGGAGCAGCGGACTGAGAGGTACGGGGCAGATGCTGTCCTCCACAGGGGGCTGTTTTTATCGTGGGAGAGGCAATTAAACGAAGGCCATGTGTACCTCAAAGTTGGACGGCTCGTCTCGACGTGTAGTTTTATACCCCAGGTGGCTGGAGTTAGAACCTAGGGGCCACAGCTTAAAACAGAAACGCGGGATTCTACTCAACGCTGCCTCAATTCGTTTATAGGTGACAAGCGGAAGATGGGTGGTGGCGAGAGGTGTGACGTTCCAGCCCCCGAGCCCAGAAATGTTAGTAAGAACCAGCAACAGCTCCACCGACAGAAGACCAAGGATCACAACCCCCAGATGAAAACCGTTCACAAGAAAAAGGAACGGAGCCACTGCAACTGCGAAGCGTGGCCGGCCGTGCCAAACGGAGCCAAGAACAAGAACTTTCCCAGTAATCAGAACTATGCTGGAGCCAAATTCAGTGAGCCGCCCTCACCCAGTGTTCTGCCCAAGCCACCAAGCCACTGGGTTCCGGATTCCTTTAATCCTTCAGATAAGGAAATGATGACATTTCAACTCAAAACCTTACTTAAAGTACAGGTATAGAATATATCAAGTGCTAATATTAGTTTAGATTGGGCAAATTTAACTAGGCATCTTTGTAAATCTAATTATGTGGCTGGGCATCTCATTTGCTGTGTGCACTGTAATGACAAAATCGGTGCAGCTTCAGTCATTATAGCTGATAATGATCTGTGGTCTCAACTGAGTGAAGTGAAACCAATCAAGTCTGAATTTCCATTTTGAGTTTCGATTTGGGGAGGCCTAATTTTTTTGTAGGGAAAATTGATTATTCATGAATCTGAGCTTGTTTGAAGTCCTCAGAAACTAGGATTAAGGCTAGCCAAATGTCAGTTTATAGAAACCTAATGCACTGCTAAAATGTGAATTTTCCTTGGATAAATGATGCAGCCGTGTGGAAAGGGCACCAAGGGCCCTGGCTGGGTATACCCCATGGCCTTAGCTGCAGTTGGATGGATGGCTGCCAACAAATGCAACCAAGCCATTTTTTATACAGCACTTGATGATTGCTCCTCTTTTCCAATACATTTTTGTATTAACAGCAATGCACAACCTGTTGGGACAGCGATCTGGTCACTTCCCACGAGTTTGCTCAGTAGGAATTGTACAATGTGAAAGTTGTAAGTAGCGGGGAAGAGAGCCATGTAAATATGTGTGATCTTAGAGCATATGTAGCTCTTGGCCTCTAGCCTACAGAGTATTTTAATATGAAATTGCTGAATGTAAGATCATGGACTTTTTTTTAATGCTGTGGCCTAATTTTAAAGGTCTGAAATGTTTTTAACATTTGTCCCTGTACTCAAGTGCAGTGTGTAATAATCTGTAGACTATGTATCAAAGGAAACCTGAGTGTAATGAGTTTTGTGATACAACTATAAAAGCTTTTAAGCTGTTCCCCCAACTCAAGCCCGCAAATGCGCTATTCTATGTTCCCACCAATCTCAGCGAAGCTTTATTTTGGCTTTCACCATTTTTTGGATCTGAGATGCACGCCTATTGCAGCAGGCTGTGTTGTATAAATCATCCAGTGGATGACCAACATGGAAATATAGCATTTCTCACACAATAGCTTGATTAACCTTTTACCTACACAAAAGGTAAACATCAGGCCAGTTACACTGCAGATATTTTTCTAAATGTTAATTATACTTTTACTTTCCACCCCACCTTCATAAGCAGAACAATCAAGATTTCCCATGTCAAATGTTTGAATAGTACCTTGAGTACAAAATATGATTTTGAAGCATGAAATTAAATTTTCTTTATCCCCAGAGGCTTGCTTTTTATTTGTGTGACTGAGGGACTATACAAATAGGACTGCTGGCTTGAAGAGGCTGTGGTTTAATCACAGGTGAAGAATCGGGATTGACAGCACTTGACCAAACTTGCAAAGCTTTCAATCAAGTCAGTCTTCTCCCTGCACCCTAAACCTAGCAGTTTCGCAGGTGTTTGCAGACATTCCAAGGTGCCTGCAGGATTTTGGCAGAAGACACCTTGCCTGGTTAGCACATCTTTTAAAGCAGGTGGGGAGCTTTATTTTCAGGGGTGGGGACTTAAGCATTAATAAGCCAGACACATTGTCAGCCCAAAAGGCCTGGTAAACCAATGAACCAAAACAATCACCTAATGGTAGTTGAACCTTTGAAAATCTCAACTACCCAAGTAGTGTGATACATTTATGTATGTATAAATGCATTCACAACTGAATTCAAACTCTAGAGTGTAGTTGCCCTAGCAGTGGCAGACCAAATGACTAGGAGTTTCATGTGGACAAGAAATGATTGCTAAACGAAGATGTTTAGATCCCTGTTTATTGTTCAACTACTACACTGGGAGAACTCCCGAGTTCTCCTTTCACACAATTTCAATTTGTCAGACCTATTTTATAGCAGTGTGTAACATGGGAGTCAGCTCTAGTACCCTTAAACTCAAGTTCTTGTTCACAAACATGGGTTAAGTGCTGCAAGCATCATTAGCTGTACACCAAGAGGGAGTGAATGCAGCTTTTAGAACTTTTTTTTAGAACCTCTTAAATGAGGAAAGTCTACCCGGGGAAGTAGCAAAAACTACAAAACAAAACGCCCAAGTTTTTTTTTTGGCTCCTAGATCAGTTTATTATTTCACTCTCTAGAGCAAAGAAATAGGATCTTAAAAAAAAAAAAAACTGGACACAAAGGTCTTTTACTTTACAGGCTACTGTCATCAGTCCTAGGGATTTATTTACATGCCTCAACCTTGTTACCCACCCCCCATCCCCATCGTAGGCACAGGGTAGGACAGCTGTCACAAATACAGAACCATAGTTGGGATAATCAACAACGTTGGAGCAGAGACCCCACCCACAGCGACTAGCAAAAGCATCCTGCAAGTGTCCATTGTCACAGCTCTAGTGGCCCTCCTGGTACAATGTTGCAGACCACTGCTGATATTCCTGCCTGCTGCTCACATCACAGCCTCCCCATTTCTAAACCAAATCTTGTTTATATAAACAGGAACACAGTAAAACAAAACAAAACAAAAAAAAAAACAATGCAGTGAAAAATCTAACTGCAATTTGCAAGGCCAGGTTGGAATGAGTCATCCAAGTTTTAAGATCTGGAGTTAATCTCTTCCTCATACAGAAATATTATTGAAAATGAGGAATGAAACTGTACAAAAAAAGCTTATCACATGGTAACACTCCATAAATGATGATTCCAGGCTCTGTAAAACAGGAGCAGAGCCCATTTCCAAGGAGTGTGTGTGTCCAGGAATATCTGAAAAGCATATGGCTCATCAGGTTAAGTGCTTAATGGTATTGACAGCATTCACTATAAATTGTAATCAACACGGCAGATCCCCTTAAAGCCAAGTCAAGAGCTGCCAAAACCACAGGGGCCTTTCCTGATTAACCATGTTTAAGGCTTTTAAGAGTTCTCAAGCATTTATTACTGCATTTATTACACATTCTAACAAAACCAAAACCAGAATTAGTTAAAACGTTTACTCAATATTTGTACTCGTCAACAATATTATCTCCCCTTCAGAGTTTTAACTTCAATTCAAAAGGAAACAGAGGAGGGAGGAACAGGGCAAGATACCTATGAACCATATAAATATTAACTTGGCAATACACAGAACTTCTACCCAAAACTACCACTTTAATGTTGATTATGTAATAGAATAAAAAATACACTTCTAAATTAAATTTAGCCATTTTTGCTGTAATTTAGATTCCAAATATTTACTTTCCTCATGAATATCGGTTATAGCATTTTCCCATTTGACTCAAAAAAAAAAAAAAAAAAAAAAAAAAAACCCAGAGATGAGCCAAGTGAAAAATTATAGATTCTAACCTAGGATCTACTTGTTCCGTGATCTTGGGAAAATTTAGCGATTTTAAAAAAGAAAATAGGAATAAAAATACCTCCATTTTACACCTCCCTTAATTATGCATATCTTTCTATATTTTCAAAACTCAAATTCCACTCCCAAATTCTTAGCTTAATACTTTACATGCAAGCTTTAATTAAGTACATGGCAAAATATGACAAAACTCAAATGTGATGGAATCCATGTATAGGAAAAACAAATATCCTAATAAGGAACTAAAGAATCCAAAGCATTTTGTGATACTATAAAAGTTATTTATTCACTATACACAGAACATGTTCCCTATAAAATGTACATGAAAATCACTGAAAAGTATAATTTGGTGAACATCTTCTCATTACAGAACATACTAAATCAGTTGGGGTAACAGCTCTCTGTCTGCCTCAAAACAATCTAATTATAGCACCCAGTGTCCCCTTGATATCTAATGCAAAGTTAAATACTTATTTGTGGGATTCTTTCTAATATGTATTTGATGAGGCAGAGTTAACAATTTAATATTACTTTAATATATTACAGTAACAGCACAATAAATCAGTTTATTACAGATCAAAACAAATTATTTTCATTATTTGTATTAATGGGATGCAAACAAATACTGGATACTTTTTTTTAAAGGCAGATAACCACAAAATTACTTATCTTTGATAGCATACTGGCTTTTATAATTACATTAAAATGTAAATGGTGTAATATAGTCACAAATACTACACCTCAAAGAAAACAATGAGGCCACATGTAATGAATGATTCACTAGATTGTGCTCAGTAGACATTTATTGAATATGGAAATTACCTATTTTTCTATCCAATTATCTAGTACAAACTTTTGCCCACTGTTAAGGGCTCAATAAATATTCACTGAACATACTGATCAGGAAAGAGTTGAGAAGAGATGGGCCCTCTCAGCTGGATGTCAAGTATAATTGGAATCTACGTGGGAAAAAGTGGTTGAAGAAGTCAACTGTATTGGTATATAAGCAATTATACTCAGATGCCAACAAAGCAAACGATTAAGCAGAAAACACTGGCACCAGAATAAACAAAGGCAAGGTTTGCCAATAATGGCAAAAATGGAATTTTAAGGATAACCCACAAAAAGCTTACATTGGACCATACCTTACCTTTTCCCATCCAATTCAGTTTGAGACAGACCAACAGAGGCACTGTAATAGACTATGGCTGTCTTCCTTGATATTCCGACATCCTAGTTTCCAATAATTTATTACGGACCTGTTACCCATGAATCAATATAAACCTATTCATATTTAGGGATTAGTTTCCACAAGTACAAAGTTGAACTTCCTTTTATTTGTCCTAAAATGCTTACTTTCAAACTTGAAGGGACTTCAATTATTCCATGTAGTTTTCGATAATTCTTATCTTTTCAGACCAGAGTCAAAATATTCGTACAGTATTCATACTGCAGCACCTTCCACCCACCCTTTGGTCGCTTGAACTGCCCTTCTTTGGTTCTTTTTCCGCTTTCAGATCTTTCTTGAAGTGTAGTAAGCAGAACTGTACTGGGTATTCCAGCTGCAGTTTGGTCTTAAATAAAAGAAGGATGTTTGTCAGTTTGGTTTTCTTTTATTCTTCTCTGTGGTATACAGGATTTTGTTAGTTGAACTGGATGTAGCAGCTTACTGAGCCAACTTTTCAAGAGAATAGTACAACAGTCCCCAGGCTTTTCCCTGGGTGGTTAATCTAACAGCTCACACTACAGGTAGCACCTTTCCTTTCTCACTGAAGCATTATCTCTCATTTTTTTTTTTCTTCTTGCTTACTTGGCTTAAACAAGTGCAGAGCAATCTTAAGTAAAAAGAGAGGAACAGCTGTCAGCCTTCACCTGAATGACAACCGGATTATTTTACCATTGAGCCCAGGGCCAGACACATCTTAGAATGGTATAACCCAGATGAGCTTAAACATGGCCTGTAGAGCCGCCTCATGAATTAAGAGTCTTGGAAACACGATGGCTCAACCACAACAGTTCTTCTGAAACTGTTATGTACATCACTTTATAAATAACATATAAGGCTCTAGAGAAAATACTCTTGAATTTTAAGACCCAATGCAAGTTAAAGCAAAACAAAACCAAACCAAGATCAGGCCTTCTAGTTCCATACAGATTGAGAACAATTTCAATGAGGGCCATGTCCTCAATCGACTGAATAATTCGCTGATATGTTTTGGACAAAAAATACCAAACAAACCCAAGGACCATCTGGGCTCAAATCCTGGCTCTTGCCTTTTACTTCTTTGCGCTTAAGCTTCCTTAATTATCATTTAGTTCAAGTAAGAGCTTTGTGAACAGGAAATGAGTCAACATATAGCCTTTCAAAAGCGTGTCTGGCACATCATAAACACTCAATAAAGTATCAGCTATCATTTAATCAAAACCATAAAACACCTATGCTGCTTCCCTAAAGTGATTATCAATTCACATTAACTGCTCACCAACATTCAAAGATTTAGAAGATTGCCTTAAGCTGTTAGCCCCAATGCAGCTAGTTTAGGAAGAGGCAGAGCAGAATTACTGATCCAACAAAAAAATATAAACTTATCATCAGCTGACCCAATTTCATTTGAATGTGTACCTAACACTAACAAATAAGCCTAAGTTACTTAACTCAAGGGGGTTAAAATGAAAAATCCTGAAATAACTTTTGATATTACATATGGAATTCTTAATTCAACGTAAAAGATGTAGCTTTCTGGCGATTTCTATCATCTCCAAAGTTGTGCCCAGTGCAACACTGATTAAAAAAAAATCCTACAGCTACAAAATGCTATTTCCATTATTTAGAATCATATTTAGTACTATAATAATTCCAGTTAATCATTATTTCCTTCATTTTGTTTTTATTATAGCACGGTTGCTTAATTTACAGCAAGCAGAAAATAAGCTGGGTCTTATCTTGATCCAAACATTGATGTTTTAAGGGTTGTACACAATATTTGTTAAAAAGAACATATAAAAATACCTTTTTAGAAGCTTCTATAAGAAAGAAAATACAAAGTTTAACCCCACAACTTTCCTCTTTTCTAGAACTGCAAACTACTGCTACAAGTTTAAATAGACTTTGTTGTTTAAACTACACATTGGGAAAAATCTTAAAAAAAAAAAAAAGGAAGAAACGTGCATATAAATGATTGCATAGCAGAACATGAACATTAACTGCAAAGAGTAAAGAAATGAAAGTTAGAAGTACTATTAAATATACAAAGGTTCTAGAATCAATCCTTCAAACACATTCCACAGTATCTAAAAACCATCCTTTTGTTCTTCAGAGGCAAAGCCTAGATTTCTAAAACCAAAATTGGAAAAAGTATTCCTCCTAAAAGGAATCATTTTCCTACAAATTACTTAGATAAGCAAGCAATCTGAGATTTAAAAGACGCCAGCTTTATTCTGAAATGAGACTGGACATGTCACTTTATTGCCTTAAAATGACCTTTCAGAGAAACACTAAAAATTATATAATATAAATGGTTAAGGGTATTCCTCATGTTCATTCAACCACACAGATAGTTAAAAATCGAGAGATGACTCCTGCTTAAAACTAATCCTTTCCCCAAATTATTCTGCATTTCATGGCACCACAGAATCATTTAGAAAACGGGGAGTGCAGCTTCTCGTTCCAACTTGCCTCACTTTAGCTAGAACTGAGGTGTGAAGAGTGAGTCTCCCTCAAGAAGCTGAGGCCTGTCTGGATACAAAAGCACCCATTCAGGGCTATAAGCTAACACTGTGACACTAGGCACACACACAGAAACCAAACTAACTTTGAAACAACTTACGTGCTTTTAACAGCAGTAAGAAAACTAGTCAACAATGCTACTTAAACTTTAGAGTAACTACACAAGAACATCTTTTTTCCCCTTGAAATTATTTCTGCCATCAGGGACCTGCTCAAATTCTAAGGTGAGTTTTTTTTGATGTCTGTATGCTCTAAACTAGAAACAAGAGAAAAAGCAGTGAAGGCTCTATGTTTAGCCAAAACTTCAATAGCCCTGAAAATGCTATTTAACCCAGCTTGGTGGGGGGTATTCCCCCAGACTGGGGTTCAAAAACAACTAGTTCCAACCGTGTCATAAATAAACTGTCAGCAGGGTCAGGCCTCGGCACCTGGGCAAGACATAAAGGTCCACTCTGACCCTGCTGTGTCTGAGCAGTCAGTGCTATACTGTGGCTATTCACTTCTGTATCATTCTATCTTATTAGCAAGCTACAGCTCAAGGTTAACAGTTCTACCAAATATGGATATCAAAGTTCATTTTAATAAGACAATGTTGCAAATTAAGGTCAACCAACATCTTTTCACCAAATACTTCAAGCATAAAAAATGAGAATCTTTACAAAAATATACAGAGACACCACAAATTGGTAGCTGCCCGTAACATTAAACAAACTGGACTCCTACGAGTGGCTTCTCAACAGCATATCATTTTAATTATCACCATCGCCTGGTACAGGGACAACTAACAAGTGTTTTTTAAGCATCATTGCAACATTGTATTCCTGATAATTTAAGTAAACCAAAACTATAAGTAAATGAATGATACATGCCTAAAAATTATCATGGTTTATGCTATCAGTGGCCACTGGACTTAGGACTAGTCCAAGACCTTGATCTAGATTTGGACCTAGACCTAGACTGTGATCTTGACTGAGATTTGGATCTAGGTGGTTCTTTTTTCCTTGATTCCTTTTCATCTCTTGAGCCAGACTTATAATGTGTTTTGGAATCTGTTTTAGAGGTGCCTCTACTTTTGGTGTGAGATGCAGACCTAGAACGTGATTTAGCCTTCATTTCTTTCTTGGGCTGGGACTTGGACCGTGATCTTGAATTGGATTTAGATCTTGAAAAAGATCGATTTCGGTGTTTGAATCTTTCAAAACAGAGGAGAGATACAATTAGAGTAAAAATTAGATGCTATATTAATCAAATGTTATTTTTAGAGTAAAAGTTCACTCTGAAATTGAAAAATGCATGAGTCTTTTTCAAAGCAAAATTATTTACCTATCATTGTCGGAATGGCTCCTGCTACGGCGAGGTCTTCCCGTCGGTCTACTGCTAAAAAGCACATCAGAAAAAGCAAACAGTGACACACGTCTTAAATTTCTAATTAAAAGCAAACCATAAAACTTTGAAAGTAATACACTATGAATTTTTAGACTGAAGTAACATACATAATTTAAAAAGTAAAACACCATTAAAAAAACAAAAATCCCACTAGCAAGATATCTACTTTAATAGATCACTGTACACCACACTTACTTTCTAGGACTGTAAGATCTTCTATAGTTGTAATCAAAAGACCGACTTCTTGATCTCCTTCTTTCATAACTTCGGCTTCTGGAACGTCTATATCTGTCATAATCATCGTAACGTGAAGAACTGTACACATTTCTCCCTTCCTTGGCTTTCATTTGATTTGGTGCTAAGAAAAAAAAAAAAGTGTTGAGATTATAGGGAAATAATTGCTGTACCCGTTTCTCTGCATACCAAGGGAAATACATATGTGTTTTGAGAGTCATTTGAGGCACTTCTGGTTCTGGTGCTGAGGTGTGGAAAATTAACCCTTTCAGCAACAAGTACTTTGAAAGTAGTCTCTTACAAGACTCCTTCTTGTGAACAATGACACTTTCTAAGGCCCCCAAATTGCTTTTTTCCAAGTTTGGGTAATTGGGGTTTGACCAAAGTCAAGAACTGGGAAGTTCTTCCTGATGCCCCACCGCTCTTGTTTTCTCAGACACCCTAGCAGGAAGCCATGAAGTGGTGGGAATCAGAACCAGTGCCCATACAGCATGCTGCATTGTAAGGGATGGTTTCACCCGCTAGACAATATTAGCCCTAATGTGTTTTTTAAGAGTTGCAAATTGTGATTTGAACCATATGCTGATTTGAAATTACCCTGCTATATAGTGTCCACTTATTAGAAACACAATATCTATTAGAAGTCCATGAAAGAATGCAGCTATACACTTAAAATTCTACAGCTCTGACAGACCATACCAAATGATGTACAAAAGTTAACATCTTTTGAATTCCACACACATCCATACCCTCAATCTTCCATTCTTGGATAATCCCAGTTTTTTTAAAATTTAACTTTTATTGAAAAGGTAGATTTGCATAGCAGAATGAGGGACAGAGCTGAGCTGATCCTAAACCAGGAACCAGGAGTCTCTTTTGGGTCTCCCATGTAGGTAACAGGGTTCCAAGGCTTTGGGCCAACCTCTGTTGCTTTTCCAGGCCATAGCAGGGAAATGGATGGGAAATAGAGCAGCTGGGATATGAATCAGTGCCCAAATGGGATCCCAGTGCTTGTAAGCAGATGAGCTAATTAAGCCTTCGTGCAGCCCCTATCACATTCAATTCTACAAAGCAGAAATTACTGTACATGCAAGAAAATATACATAAGTAACAGAGTGAATACCCAGGAATTGATTACTCAAACTACTAGAGGATTACCAATTACCTGTATCTAAGTACTACTATTTTTACAGCACGCAACTAACACCTGCCATATGTTTATCACCTCCTCTCCTCAAATATCAGGTACTAACACAGAACGATTTTAGGCTGAATGTTATTCTACCTTTCCCAGCCCATTTCCACAGTGATGTACTCACACTGACTACCCAACAGTGCGTCCCTTTCAGCTCTATGTCCAATTATTAAACATCCAATTGGGGCCAGTCATGTGGTCTAGATGGCTGATCCACCCTCTGATGCTGCCATAACCTGTGAGTTCCAGTTCAAATGCTGGCTGCCCCACTTCCAATCTCACTTCCTGCTAATGTGCCTGGGGAGGCAGCAGATCACCTGAGTGCCTGGAACTTGTTCCTTTCTAGGAGACCTGGGCAGAATTCCAGGTTTGTGCCTTTACCCTGGCCAGGGAAAGTGAACCTGTGCATGCAAGACCTCTCTCCCGAACTATGTTATTAAACCATTTACCGAATTATCTTAGTTGTAAGGGTACTTACTCTTCCGGTCCCCCTGTGCAAATTGTATTTCAATCTGACGACCGCAAATCCATTTTCTGTCCAGATTATGTAAAGCATCTTCAGCATCACGAACATCCTCAAATGTGCTAAATGTTAAGGGGCTTGGGAAGTTTTGCAAGCTTTACAGTGAATGAACGGTCAGTTGGTAAGCCTGAAACAACTCACAATCTCCCAATATTGTTCTGGCAATCAACCAGATCCCAGTTCATAGCTGGTTGATTCAGCCATTATCATGCCATAGTAGAAATGCACTTGTAATTTCTGAAGGCATGTAGTTTTTGGAAAACATACTATAAAATTATTACTGAAATAAGATGTTATAACTAAATCACCAAGTTATAACAAAGTCTATTTCCCAAGTATTTAGAATTAACTTCACAAAACAAAATTAAAAATCAGTCAAGTCTATGTTGAAAGTCAAAAAGATTCTTAAAATAAAAACAAATATACTGTTGCCCACATACTTGTTTCAAATAAAAAGGAAATGCCAATAGTTCTTGTGAAAGCAAGCAAAATGTGCCTTACCTTAAGAGACGGAAATAGTGACTTCAAGCTTATTTTGCTGTGCATCCTGCTGAGTCTAGTACTATTTCATACAGCTGTTTGCACTGGGTCACTAGCCATTGTCAAGCAACACTCAGGACAATCACTGCATCAAAGCACATTCCATCCATGCACAGGCAGAGCATGCTAGCCCGGAGCCCACCGCTAGGGACTCCTACTTTGCAAAGCCCTAACCATGGTTTTACTCACACAAGGGCACTCTAAGCAGCTTTAGGCAGCACTGAGGATACACATCTTAGTCTGAGCAGCTATGTCTATGTCCCTGCCTCTAGTCAGTAGTGATGGTGAGAACCCCTGGCCTGACATACTCCAGCCAATCTTCCTTTTACTAAAACCATCACTTTAACCTAGGCCAAGTACAGTTAAGACAGATTTGACAGAAAAAAACTTAATGCTTTAGCCTGCCTCTTTTGAAAACACCAGAGTGCAGATCTTGAGGATTAAAAACAAAAAATTGCCTGAGGCAACACATTCTTTTTTTAAACTGAAGGTGGCGTTCTTTTATTCCAAAGACTAAATGGTCTGCATTGCTCAACCTCCCCACTTCCTTTTCTGAAAGGAATCCAGGGCTGCAGGTTTGCAGCACTCTGCCTGAGCTCTTTATAGATAGGTTAAATGCCAGAAAAGATTTTCTCAAGGGAAAAATTGATGGGAAAATTAGAACCTTGAATATTAAAACCGAACAATCTCTCCAAGGTTAATGTGGTTGGGTTATAAAATTAAAAGCCACTTAGGCAAACCCATATTTCAGGGTCAGGGGTCTTTCCAAAATAAAACTTCTAAGCCTGTAACTTCCTTATCTAGTGTATATTTTAAAAAACAACCACTTTTCTTTGAATGCCTTTGTCAGACCATTATTTATAGTTCCCGTCATCACACTGCTGGGCTACCCAAACCAAGGGAGATCAGATCAGCCCTCTAAGCCCCATGCACTACTACTCTGATTTACCACTGTCCAGTTAGCAGAGCTTTGCAATCCATTACTAACACTGTCCTCAGTCCCCGGCCTTTTCCTGACGTCTTCCCAGGCTCCAGCAGCACACCCATCTCTGCTGCTAAAGCTGAGCTCTCGGAAGGGGAATGGCAAGCTGAACCTGGGCCAGCCACCCACACTAGCCAGCAGGGTCAACTGCTCCTGTGTACGCGCTGAAGCAGCACAGGGCCCACTGGTTTCACAGAAAATTCCAGAAGCAAGGCCCCTAGTCATTACTTTTAACCACACACACATTTCTAGTGGATCTGAATGTACAAGGCCAACAGAACATCAGTCTCCCCTTTAAGCAGGGCTCAAACCACAGCGTGACCCCAGAATCACATGCTACTCCCCAAATCCCTGCCTGCTACTCTGTGGTACCAACTGCCTGGTCCAAAATGGGAGCGTGAATTTAAGCTTAGCAATAAAACATTCTCTTACTCTGAGAAGCAGAGAGCGTGCGCATTTATACAAAACCACAATCACAACATCCACAGGCCCACACAAACCAACTTAACAGGTTTTGTCACTAGACCAAACCAGAATTTTGTAAATTAACTGCTTACAAAACATTAAATAAATTAAAAAAAAAATAGATAAAATAAAAAAGGGAAAATAGTTATTCTGTAGGATACATCAGGTATGACTCCTTTAATCTTGGCCATCATTGAACTTCATCTTGACCTTTAACTCTTTAAGTGCTTGTCAGAAGGACTTGTCATGAGATGCTTGGCCAAATATGACAGATGGCTTTATCTTTAACTTTGGAAAACAACCTTTTCCCCCTTTTGTAGGTAAAGCGAGGCTTTGTCTCCCATTAGGCTTGTCCTTCTTCCAGCTTTTCTTTATTTTTTCTTTTCCCAAACTCATCCCTTCTCTTCAAGCCTGATCCTTAAGAGGTCTTTGGCTTGTCTACTTGCCTTAAGTGTTGAACTCTACTCTAACGGTTCTTTCATGCTTTCTCTTTGGGGTCGCCATAACTGTACAGCTTTACAATGTCTGAGGTAACAACAGAGGACAGCAAATTAGGGGACAATATTAAAGAAGTTTACCTCGTTACACAATTTGTTTTTGATCAAGTGATTCAAATTAACAAACAAGAATAGCAACTTTAATTGCTAAGCACAAGAACATATTAACTTTTAATTTGACTTAAAGGTGGTAGCAACCAGAGTGTATTCAAATTTAAATCACATATAATCACTGATTTCAGTTTCAGAAGCATGAATGGGAATTTAAATATTTCACTATTTTTGATTAACTTTAAGAAATAGTAAGAGCAATGTGAGTTGAAGTTAATTTTCAAAAATTTGAAGACATAAGACATTTATTAGAAGACTATAAAACAAACAAAAAAAAACCACAAAAAACACTACTTTTCAGATGTTACCACTTACATAAACTTGAATTTCAAACTTCAACACCCCTCACTACTCAGTCATCTGAAGAAAGGATATTGAACATAAGCAAATCCTCTTGGACGGCGAGTGTAGAAATCAAGTGGAACATACACATCAACTATAGGACCATAGCGACCAAACTCACGCCGTAGATCTTCAGACCTAAAACATCATAAAAAGACCTCCAATTTGTTCCCGTCCTCCAGTTTCTTGGTAAGCAGCAGTCACACACCTGCTGAGATCTCAACCACAGGACCTGGGAGTTAGGCGTGACCCACACACAGCTCCTCTCAGCGCATCCCTAGGCGCCCGGACGTTCCAACCCTGGACATTAAGAGCGCACTTGAACACACCACGTCCTAAACACAGAACACCTACAGGCTTAAAATGAGCGATATGCCACTCCTGGTACTTTTGCAGAATTACCATCTTGCGGCTCGATGGGTCTGACACACGTGCAAGACAGCACCGCTTTTCCATAAAGCACAACAGTGGAAAACCAACACATTGTTAGAAATTAAATCTATATTTTCCACTCATCAGGAAAAAAAATATGAAAGTACTTCGAAAAGTTCGTGGAAAACTGTTTTAAAAGTTGCTTTATTTTGGTGCAAAAATGTCGAAATTCATGCACTGTTTTCATGATACGCACGACTCCTCAAAGACCTCGCCATACATGGATCTCAACTTTTCTTCCACCGAAATAAAACAGCTTTCGTTTTTCCTCAAAGGCCCGGCAGCACAAGCGCTGTGTACTTTTTCTCCCCCCCTTTACAGTCTCAGACTGATGGCAGCACTCTAGGGCCTTGACTATTTTTACCCTAAAATGTGAGCGACACGATTAGCAGGGGGAGGTGTCTCTGGGGGAAAAAAAAAATCAGTCACAAATCTTTAAAAAGTTTCTCCAATTACACAAAAGGAGACGCTTTCCCTGACGCCAAACTAACGACTATCGCTTTCTTTCTCAGAAAAAAAATCAAAGCTAACAATTTAAAAAAAAAAAAACCCGCAACTTATTACTTTCTTTGTAAGCTCGATTATTATTTAGCCTCATCTTGGGGTAAACTCGCCTCCTTCTCCTTTCTCCAAATTCTGTAGGCAGCTCGAAGCAATTAAGGGGTGCTGGTGGTAAGAACAAAGCCGATTTTAAAGCATGGATTGATCTAATTCGGCTCCCAACCCGCCCCACGGCGGGCGCTTCCTACGACATACCTAATGGGCCACAAAGGGACGAGCAGCAGCGAGGCGCCGCCGCCACCGTGGTCTCCCTCCACCCCGTTAGCGCACTCCGATTTCTCCCGTGGACTTGGGGGGGCGGGGAAGCGTCCGGGCCCAAGAACGTGAACTTGAGCGTGCGGGCAGCGGATGCCCGGGCGAGCGGGTCCACGCCGCCCGCCCCGGGGCGCCGCCCTCGCTCGCTCGCTCGCACGCGGCAGGGCTGCATGGCGCGGCCTAGTCCGTGTGCTCAGGCGGGCGCCGAGCCCGCCATCTTCTCCCCCCTTTCCCCGCGGCCAGCTGCCCGCCACCACGCTCCCGCTCGTCGCGCAGGCCCCGGGGGTCTCGGCCCAGCACCTACCTGGTGTCGTCCGCCACGTTCCTGACGAACAGAGACGTGTTCGGGGGGCGCAGGTAGCGGGACATGGCGGCGGCAGCGGCGAGTCTCGGCCGGGGGCACTAACGGGTTCAGTAAACCGTCCGCGGCCCAGGCTCACACACAGACCCACACACAGCCCGAGCGCTCCGCTACGGCGCCGACCTCTTCTCGCGAGACTTGCCTCCCGCCGCCACCGGCAACGGCTCTCTCCCGCGAGATCGCCGGGCGCCGGCGAGCGCCTGCGCGGACCGAGAGCTGAGCACGCGCGGCGCTCGGGCCGCCGTCATTGGCTCCGCTCCTCTTCAGCTCGCGCGCTTTTTCTTTGGATGTGCTTTTTTTTTCTTCGTCCCTCTTTTTCTGTCTGGCCAACCCCTCCGCCCCCCGGGGAATTTCTGGAAGGGGACGCCAAACTAAGAATTTAGAATAATTACAAATGGACGAATTCCATTACATTATAATTCGGACACGCTGCTCCTTAAAATGCCAAGGTAGGCCCTGGCTTTTCTCAGATCCTTGACCAGCGTGACAAGACTGTAGATAAGGGAAGGGAGGAGGTGTTTCTCCTTGTGGAGGGGCAGGCCTGGCCCCGCCACGCACGACGTGTCCGCTGAGTGAAAACGGCTCCCGCTTTCCGGGGGCATGGGTTCTTGGGTTGCTGGAAGATTTCCACGTAGACACCATTTCATTTCCAACAGGCATGTTTGCCGTGGGTCTCAGAACCCCTTGACAGACTTAGAAGTTGTGGAAGATCTTAAAAAGAGTTTTTCTGGAATGTTCTTTCATTACGTGGGCTATGGTATTTACAGAGTTAGAAAATTGGAGAAAACTTTGGCTAATTAATACACATGCCGCTGCTTTTCGACCACATTATCGTATCCCTCAGCCTCTGAACAACCCCGGTCCCACTTTCATTATTGAAACTGTGAGAGGAGTTAAGACTGGGTAGTAGGTAGTTAGGGTATTCTGGGTCCCCAAGTCATTTTTCCTGAAATATAAAGGGATATTTTTCCCCACCCTGTCTTGAGTTCCCCAGAGCATGTCTCTCCCAAGACAAGTACATATCTTATCAGGAACATACTTCCCCGAGAGAGAGGGCGACATTAACATGTCAACTCCCCACCTGAAACCTCAGCCCCATTCTGTCTCCCAGCCATTGCCAAGGGGGAGGGCTTCAGACTGGCCTCTATCATTAGAAAGGGACCAAGGAACTTGGCCAGTGACACCTTGCTGGCCTTTTGTCCCAAGGCCAGGTACCATGGAAACCAGGAATTTTCTCACTATGGCAGGGGGTAAGGGTCCTTCCTATCTCAGAGCCCCATCCCGTCACTAGGACGGGAGTCTCCTCTCAACTTTTCTAATAAATCTTGCTTTAAAACTGTGTTCGTCTATGATGGACTATGTCAACCGGTGGATGCTTCAAAGACCTCATAGTACTTGGAGTGGCAAGATTGGCAGCGATTCATAAATGTTGAAATATCAAAACCACTTGAGCAAGAACCTCAGAGCATACCCTACATCCGGGACCTGGGGAGGGTGGGAAATTGGGTGGGTCTTCTCCCTTAATACCCCCTTTAAATATGAAGGAAACAATATGGAAAAAATAATAGTCTTACCCACTTTCCTGTAGCCCTTGAACCTTTTTACCCTAATAACTATGTAAAGATTGTAAAAATATAATTAAAAAAAAAAAACTGAAAATTCACACGAAAATTCTTCTCTCCTGCTAGACGAGAATTGAGGTTGCTGCCATATTCGGGGTTAAAAAAACCCTACAACAAAAGTTTGGGGGAGTGTTTTGTTTTTGTTTTCCCTTTTAAGATTTGTATTTGAAAGGTACAGCTATAGAGAAGGAGAGAGAGAAAGCAGTGGTTTTCATCTGCTAGTTCACTCCCCAAATGGCCAAAAAAAATCCAGAGCTGAACTCACCTGAAACCAGCAGCCAGAAGCTTCTTCCCAGTCTCCCAGGCATTGCAGGGTCCCAAGGCTTTGGGTCGTCCTCCACTGCTTTCCCAGGCCACAAGCAGGGAGCTGGATGGGAAGTGTAGGGAGCTGGATGGGAAGTGCACCCATTTGTTTGGCTGCTAGTGTGTGAGGAGTCAGATGGGATAGTAGGCAGCTAGGGTTTTTCTGGTCCCCAAGTAATTTTTTAAAGAGAAAATTGTATTTTCTCTTCCATGTCTTAATTTTCCCAGAGCATGTTTCTCCCAAGGATGCTCTTTTGCCTCAAAGGACACAGGGGCAGAGTTAACATCATTTCACAATCCTGAAGTGACGCACCTAATCTCATCTCCACGCCACTGTCCGAGAGATGGTTCCTGGATCAGCTTATCGTTGGAAATTAGCCAGTGCCCATCTGAGGCTTGATTCTAAACCAGATGCCACTGTGAATGATTTTGTCCTTTGTAGTAACTCCCCTGAGATGGTGCATGAAAGACACCATCTCCACCATTAACTCGAGTTTTTCTTTCCCTTCTCCTGTCATTATGACAGGAGGTCCTGCATTTTTTTCCCCCCTGTGGACACAAGGAGCCCCCGCCTGCTACCATGGCAGGAGCCTTTTTTTTTTTTCTTTTTTCTTTTTCTCCTGCATTGCGAACAGGAATTGTCTGCATGAAAATTCTTTCATTTGAGACAAGAAGTGAGGTTGTTGTCATATTTTCACATCGACCATCCTATAACACTAGCAGGCAGAGGGGTAGGCTACTGAGCCACTGTGCTATCCTCAGTCAAGGGGTTTTGATCTGGAGCCCACTCCTAGATCCTTTTCTTGGGTCCCTGTTAGAATGCCTGTGGGCGTGTAGCTCAGGGCCAAGCTGAGAGCAGGGACTCAAGTGCTGCTTAATTAAAATGAAATTTCATTTCAAAAAAAGGCCCTGTGTGAGTTAATTTTTTTGTATTCAAGGCAAGTAAGCGATTGACAAGGGCAGTGGTGGTGTCCTGCGCTCTGTGGCAAGGCTGGTGTCTCAAACTAATGTTTCCCAAAACGCTTTGCACATCTAATGCATTGAAATGTTTATTGATTATCTGCTCTGTGTCCGGCATTGTGCTGGGTATTCAAGGAGAAACAACTCAGCTTGTATTTCTCAAGCAATTAGTAAAATAAGCAAGTTAACAGCTGGAGGAAGTGTAAGTTAGTAATAAAACAGCAGTAATATGGTAGGAACGTTCTTTGTTTTTAGTTTTTAAGTGGAAGGTTGTCTAGGAAGGCCTCGTTGAGCAAGTATATTTAGGGGCATGAAAACAGACTCTTGCAAATTGCCTTAATTACTGACTGAAATGTACATGGTGGTAGCACTGTGGCCTTTCAGTTTAATAGAATACAGGTTTAGACCAGAGCCTATAAATGTAGTTGGGACTGCCAAGTCATCTATGGGCCCTGCGGACCCTGAAAATGCTCCTTGTTCAAAACATACTAAGAAGAAGAAGGAAATACTAAGGACTTTGGGACGGGGAGGATAGCATTGGAGTGCAGGGAATTAACTGAGTCACCATTTGCGAGCATCCCAAATCTGAGTGTCAGTTTGGGTTCAGATTGTTTTGCTTCCAATCCAACTTCCTATTGATGCACCTGGAAGGCTGCATTAGATGACCCGAGTGTTTGGGCCTTTGCTGCTCTCATGGGAAAGCTGTGGAGTTCCTTGCTTCTGGAATTGGCCAGGTCCAGCATAGCCTGGATCTTTAAAGCCATTTGAGAGGTGAACCAGTAGATGGAAGTTCCCTTTCTTCCTCTTCCCCCCCTTTTCTTTCTCTTTATTGTCTTGCCTTTCAAATAAATAAATATTAAAAAATAAAGTCTCCCATCTGCTAGTTTTCCCCACAAGTGCTCACAGCAGTCAGGGCTAGGTCAGGCTGAGGTCAAGAGCCAAAGACTCAGTCCAGGGCTCCCACTTGGTGCCCAGCACCCAGGTGCAGAAGCCATCACCTGCTGTCCCCAGGATGTGCACTAGCAGGAAATTGGTCCTGGAGTAGGGCTAGCCCCACAACCCAGGCCCTCTGCTGTGGGATGTGAGTGCCCCACGTAGCACATCACCAATCTCCTGCTTCTAAAGGACCAGGTGTTGGTCTTGGAAAATGGTGTGTTGGCACTGACTCTCAACTTGAAGAAATAATGTTTATTTGGATTTATGTCAGAAACTCACTGTCTTTGGGTCCTATTTTCAGAACTGCACAAATAAAAGCTGAATGTAAAATAGATCACTATGTAATTTCTTAGTCTCTGGGCAATCCTCTGCTAGGATAGTTCTTGCTGGTCAATATGAGAGCCATGGCTATGAGTGTGCCAGGCTGGACAAGGTGGCAGCACCTGTTGGTGTACCTGTGGGCCAGGTCTAGGGGTAGGGTTAGGCTGAGCTAATATGCAGCATTCATGAGTGTGAATGGCAGTCAGATAGCATGTGAGAAGGGCTGGACTAGTTTCCTGCACATGTCAACATACAGGAGCTGAGGCTAGGGACAGGCTTGATTGGGGTTATTTGAGGTCACCCTGATTAGGCTGCAGTACCTAGTGATGCGTGTAAGGGCTGGGCTTTTGGAGGGGTGGATTGGACTAGTCTGCAGCACTCATCAAATTTCATAGGTGATGGGGCTGAGGGCAGAACTGAACAGGTAACTGAATTTACTCATATTTGCATAGGCTGATGCAGATGTCAGACTGAACCAGACCCCACACCAGCTGACATATACAAGAATCAGGTCTGCGATCACCCCAGGTGAGGTTTATTGGGGGACTTCCCAACTAGACAGCTGGACTTAGACTCCGGCCACAGGGAAAATGACAAAATATGTGGCCCAAATTTGGAGTGCATGCGTTGGGACTGGGCTTCCTTGGTTGCTGATGCATGTGCAGTGGCCAGCAAGCCCAGATGCACACAGAGGACATGTCAGCTAGATCATCTGGGCCAGCAAAGCATGATGAGTGACTTCAGACATACAGTAGGCAAACAGGAAGAAAGCGAACTGATTTTAGATGGACATGGAAATCCCCATGGAAAAATGAGCTAATAAGCAGGTCCAAAAGCTTAGTGCCAGGTAGAACAAGCAGTAGCTGAAAGATACTGGGAGCCTGGCAGAAGATAAAGTTTATTTAAACAAAGTCTCTTTCTAAAGACTTCTTTTGGCCTTGACGCCCGCCCCCTCTCTGGTGCCAAGAACGCTTCTTTCCTGCTGGT